CTCTCTCTCTCTCTCTCTCTCTCTCTCTCTCTCTCTCTCTCTCTCTCTCTCTCTCTCTCTCTCTCTCTCTCTCTTGTAGACACGCGTGTAGGCCCCGTCCCCTTCGGTCGGGTTTACACACGTGTGCACAAACTCTCGCAAACGGAAAAGTCCGCAATCATGTCGATACCAAAGGTGCCAAGTCCGTCAGTGGTCACGAATCGACCGCGTGTGGACACGTGTAGGTCGCGCTTATTAGATCACGCTTACACGTGCGCACACGAGTTGTTCAATCGCACACATGTCCGTCACCCGATTCTCATGCAAGAGGGTTTAAGTCCTATATGCAAAATCGCCATGGGGCGGAGACAATCGCCCAGCGATCCAACCCTTCAGTGAGCCCGCAAACAATCATTCCCGATTATGCAAAATGACATCGCACACATCAAACACCGCAACCACATCAAGCTTTTATCGTGACGACAACAGATCAAAGTGACAAGCAACAATGATAATTAGGCAAAAACGACAAGCATATCATTCCATGAGAACTCGTTCATCCAATATACACAAAAGAGGAAGGACCGAGACTAAGTAAGACACCATACAAGGGCCAACGTCGAGACAAAGATTCCGAAGGAAAGTAAGGGCGAATTGTCCGAGCCGAAATCAAAACTTATATACAAAAGCAATAAAAAAGACAAAAAAGGGTACAACTCCACGTCCATCAAACTCAACTCTCTCTCTCTCTCTCTCTCTCTCTCTCTCTCTCTCTCTCTCTCTCTCTCTCTCTCTCTCTCTCTCTCTCTCTCTGAGGCGGACAGTACGGTGGTCTCGCACCAACCCACGAAGTTATCATCCCGCTTAGTCCTCTTGTGTCCGTCACGTTCGCCCGCGCGCTACAAATCGTTGTAGCCCCACGCGTCAACCCCGCACATTCGGCACCAGCTCGTCGGGTCGCCCAACTCCCACTTCAACTCACCTCTTACTTCGCTCGTGAGCCGACCCTCACTGATTGCGCTACCCCGAGCTTCCAGCAACAGTTTAAGAGAGTTATCTAATCGCGCAGCCGAAATTTATAGTATGCATGCATGCGCGACGAACACGGAATTGCAAGGACTTAGAAAGGAAAGAAGGGGAGGGAGTGTCTGCGTTCTGCATGGCCAGATCGTGGCGTGGGGGACGTAGCCACTCTCCATGCATCGATCCGATCATGCAGTCCATGGGCCAACTAGACACAACAAAAAAGAGAGAGGCTGGGAAAGATGAAGCTCAAGAAGAAAGATACAGTTACAAGGGCGCCCCGCCCAAAATTACAGTTACACGCAATATTAAAGGCGCCGACTAATCAGAGCTCCGTTGCAGCCGCAAAAAGAAGCGCGCGAGCAAAAAACACCGAGGTAGAAGAAATTCCGAATTCCTAAATTCCTAAATTCCCATTTTCCTATTTAACGCAAAAATGCAATTTTTTTTTTAATAAAGCACAAATCCGGAAAGGAAAGTCCAAAATTCCGAGAGTCATCGACGACTCGACAAGATTCGAAAAAGAAATTCAAAAAGAAAGAAGCAAAACTCCCGCGCGATTACCTTGCCGAAAACCCGACAGTAGAACAAAACAGTGAAGAGTTTCGTGCGAATAGGGGTGAGAACTTCTCTCGAGAGTACGCAGCAAGAAGATAGGTAGGCAACTGCGGTGGGCAGAAATAGGTTTTTGTTAACATGATCCATTCTCCTCTTGTCTTGGAGACGTGTGAGATAACGAGTCGCGCTCGAGAGTAAGAGAAATCGGAGGAGATTGCGACTGAACTAACAAGGGAGAGGGGTTGTTGGCGAGAATCTCGAGCCTTTCACGTCATAGCTCGTGTGTATGGGTCGCCTCGGATGACTTTCATTGGTGTCAAGTGTGTCTTACTCCACTCGGACTAACTCTACCGTGCATTCTCCCATACCGGTCGAGGCTCATATCGGATTTAACGCCGCAAGTGTTGATCTCTTTTGTTGTTGTTGTTTCCATTG